GCAGCACCATGGGTACTTGAGAGACCGCCTCCTGCCAATTACCTCCCTAAGACCTATCAGATCCCACAGATTAGGCCTCCTCCGAATTCCATCTGCCAGCCAGTGCCGACTGGCAACTCCTCGGGGGAGGGCCTTCTCTGTGGCTGCTTCGGCCCTCTGGAACAATCTCCCTGTGGAGATCCGGACCCTCACTACCCTCCTGGCTTTCCGCAAAGCCACTAAGACCTGGTTGTTCCGGCAGGCCTGGGGCTGATGAATTTCCAGCCCCATTTGAAGCTGCGACTGTTGTTCTATTTAATTTGTTTGTCTCTTATTCTCTTATTTGTATCCCCTTCCCCCTTGGTTGTTAGCTGCCCTGAGTCTCTCGGGAATAGGGCGGCATACAAATTGAATAAACTACAACTACTAACTACAACTACAACTATTAAGGTTATGACCCAAAACAGTTGGGTGAACCCAACAGCAGTTAAGTTTTCCATATCTCGTCTTTCAAGGAAGTTGGGCAAATCTTATGATTACGCTGCCACTGGCACTGGCCTAATAATCTTACTTAGCAATAGCAATAGCACTTAGACTTATATACCACTTCACAGTGCTTTACAGATGTTTCTAAGCGATTTACAGAGTCAGCATATTGCCCCCAATAATCTGGGTCTTCATTTTACTGACCTCGGAAGAATGGAAGGCTGAGTCAACCTTACACCAGGTGTGATTTGAACTGCCAAATTGCAGGCAGCCGGAAGTCAGCAGAAGTAGCCTACAGTACTATATTCTAACCACTGTGCCACAATGGTTGTAATTTAGTTTATCAAATGCCTTACTGAAGTCCTGTAAATTATATCCATTTCTCTGGTCCACTAATTTTGCCACATTTTCAAAGAATGCAATAAGATTTGTTTGGCATGATCAGTTTTTAATAAACCCATATTGGCTTTTGGTTACGACTCTGTTTGCCTCTAGGCGTTTGCAGATTTGTCGTTTGATCTTTTTCAGAATCCTCCCAGGTATTGATGTCAGGTTGATAGATCTGTAGTGTCTTGGATTCATTATTTTTCAATCTTCAGAAAAGAAAAGAAAATGGATCCAGGAAACTACAGACCTATCAGCCTGACATCAATACCCGGAAAGATTCTAGAAAAGAAAGATAACAATATCTATTCTTCCAAAACCCATAGTTCGCTTTCCAAACACTTCTTCAATTTAATCATCTATTTAGTAATTATTGCTTAGATTTCTATATGGCCACACTCATGGGGAATTTATTGTGGTTTCTAGCAGAAAAAAATCATAGATTAGAACCAAGTAAAGTTTTTAACAGTTTTTAGTTAAAACTCTTAAAATCTATATTCCCACTGACATATTTATGATTAAATATTCTAATAACTACGACCTTATTAAAATTTCTTCTAAACATGCCTTCATAGCTTTTCTAAATATCAAGAGAAAAGGAGCTATATGGATGTAGGAGAGGGGATATTATCTCAAGGGTTTGTGACACAACTAAAAAGCATTGCTTTCTGCTCCCCCACAACCAACCCCCAAGTCTAACACATGTAGGCAAAGCTATTAGCACTTTAGCAGTTCTTAACCAGATGAGTGGAATACACTTAGTGGAATGTCTTTCACCTATAACTATAAAAAAGTAGAATGCAAAACAAAAGCAACGAGAAGGTCTAAAAATACCAGTTCATTGGTATTTCTGAATGAGGGGGAGCAAATGATAAAAGCAAGTGACAAAAAGCACAGTACAACATAATCATACAAACTGTGCCCGTTTTCTTCATGCATTGCTACATGGAACACATATGCATAATAGGCAGAACATGAACCGCAATCCCATAACACATAATGAAAATGCTGGTTTCTATAGATTCCATTTTTCAATGCATAATTTGCCATAATGTTTTGATCTGGAATCTGAGGAAATTGGGGAAAAAAATTTGCACATTTAAAAATAAATAAATGCCAAGATAGGTTTTTTTTGTCTAGAATGCCTATGATAGATTTTTTTTAAAAAGCAGTGCTTAACAAATTGATTCAATTTCTGTTGTTAGTAATCGGTTGTTGTTCCGGAAAATCCTAGTTATTAGATAATAAACTCATTAGCAAAAATCACACACTTTACACAAAAAAGTGAGTTCTGTTTGTAAATGTGAAATTACTGTATATCAGTGATGGCTAACCTTTTTCCCACCGCTTGCCAAAAGTGGGGGGGAGCGCAGGGGGTCATGCGCGGGTGTGCCCGTACCCATAGGCTATGCCCATACTCATCCGGAGGGCAAAAAATGACACTATGGGCAACCTAGAAGTCTGTTCCTGAACTTCCAGGTTGCCTGGAGGACCATTTTTCACCCTCCAGAGGAAGAAAAACAGAACAGCGTGCAACTTGGAAGTCTGTTCCCGAACTTCCAATTTGGTTTTTTTTGCCCTTCAGAGGCTTCAGAAAAGCCTCCGGAGGGCGAAAAATGGCCAAAAATGAAGGCCAAAGTCAGCTGGCATGCTAGAGCTGACAGGACAATGCCTCGCATGCCCTAACAAATGGTTCTGCGTGCCGTAAGTTCGCCATCACGGCTGTATGCGATTTATGACTGTTTAATTGACAGGTTAGTATTATGCAATTGAATCTGCGAATAACAAACTGAGTCCTTTCCTTCTGAAAAATCATGCTATAGTATGTAAAGAGTCCATCCATGGAAGCCTTTGTAGACAAGTAAAAGCTTCCTGCTGTCACACTATCCATGAAGAACAGTTGTGAGAGATTATGGAGAAGGAGGAAAAGGTATGACTTAAAGAGGGAATGACCTGCTCACTTCTCCTTCTGAGCTACTCGTTTGCATAGGGATTGTACTACTACTTGAAATGTACATTTCCAATTTGTAGAAAGGCTTTTTTTTTTTAAGAAAAAGGAGGAATATCTGCTTGATTCAGTTAGAAATCCTAGAGAAAGTTTTCGAAGTTGACAAAAATGATTTGTTTTAGAAATCCTCAAGAATTTTTTAAACTTTAATTTAGACTACAGGAAGATTATTGTCTAATGTTCTTTATTATTTTGATGGGTGGGAAGGGAGAACAATTTGTTGAAAGGGCTCAGAGAGGCTGGTTGGCCACCAGAGGTGCCTGAGGCATGGAGCTGCGGTAAAAGCCAAAGGGAGTGTGCTCCTGACGTCAGGCTTGGAGCAGTGGGGAGGAGACAAAGGAGTTGGTCCTGGATGCCTGGCAATGGCGGGCAGATCGACGTAGAGAACAGCTACGCAGGTACAGAAGATAATTGGACCCAGGTGGTTGTAATTCGGCTCCTCTGAAGATAGTATTTAAGGAGAGACTCTGGGAGGAGTCTGTTTGCAGGATTCAACTTAATTCTCAATGCTGGAGAAGCTGTTATCTGTATCTGTTGGAGTCTGGGTTGCTGCCAAGGTTCTTACCTGTTCGCCGTGCTTGGGCTTTCAGCCACCAAGATTTATGTTTCCTGCTCATAAAGTGCTGTGGCATTCCAGCTAAGCTTGTCTTGGCATTCGTTACTATATATTCATACTATATATATATCGAATCCCAATAAGGGTATGGCTAGCTGATGAGAGCTAAATAGCTTGAAATAGATCTATACTAGTCTCCCTTTATTTATTTATCAGTACAAATACAACATACATACATACACACACACACACACACACACACACACACACACACACACACACACATATATATATATATATATATATATATGATTTTGTGTGTGTGTTTTTAAAAAAGCTAAGGAGTACTCAGTTGTTAAAAAAAATCACAAATGAAATAATGACATAATAATATGGTTTCTCTATAATAACACAGTATCAGTAGTTTCCTAAGTTAAACAATAAAAAGCTTATTTGGAGTGATATCATATATCCTTCCTCAATATTTTTGTTGTATGCCATATTTTTAACATCTATGTAAATTCTTCAGCTTTTCAAACAAAGTGTCCTATTTTGGTATTTACCTTAGTATATTGCTCATGTTCAAGTTCTTGACTAGAACCACACCCTGTTGTCTGATTGTACCGGTGCATTTTCATTTTCATCTGTCTTGTTCGCTCCTCCACTACTAAATTTGCTGCAAAAACAGATAATAGAAAACTATTAAAAAAAACCTTTGAACATAGGAAGCGACTTGATGTAAGTGTGACTTTATTTCAAACTGAATAAATATTCAAACAGTATCTCCATCAGGACGTGAAAGCAAAACAATAAGCATGCTAATGCTGATCAACAAGGATTGCTTGGAAACCCTATCTACACATTTCCAAATTTCCAACATATCCGTAACATGCATTCTTTTATTTAGAATATTTCTTAAAATTTGGAAAATATTATTTTTGTTCCTTTGCAAAATATGTCTCCCTGTAGTATAATTCTACAAGGATAACGTTCCATCCAAGTTAGAATATTTATTGCACTTTTAAAATATTTTTAGTGATATTCTTAAAAGAAAACAAATACATTTGCAAATGTGGTAGATATGGCTTCCAAACAATTTTGCATTATTTTGTTTATAATTGATTAAAGCTTCAAAACACCAGCCTATTTATATGCAAAGCTTTTCTCTGTATTGAGTGGGGGTTATGCTTTACACATATATTTTGATACAGGAAAACATCCTAGCTGGATTGTATCGAATTTCACCTTGGAATATAGATTCCTGAAAAATATATATTCCTTCCGTAGAGTAAGAACAGTAAATTCAGTTTCTTAGGCAATCAGTATTTAATGCCATCAGTGTACATGATCATATACTGCGTTTAAATACCTCCTGACACCTGAGTATTGAAAGTCTAATCATAAAAGAAGGGAAAAAGGAAAGGAAAAGTATGCAAAGGATAGATGCAGGTAAATACATAATCAAAACTTAATTTCCGGTTGAGAAAGAGGATCGTGTCAATAAATGAAACCTTTGTGCAATAGCAGATTTATAAAACAATAAAAAAGATTGCACCAAATACAATTAAATAAAATAAAGACATAGCATGCAGGTAGTGAATAAGTCAAATCAGGAGATTTGGGGCATAAGGAACTTTGGTGGCGTAATGATTAGAATGCAGTACCGCAGGTACTTCTGCTGACTGCCAGCTGCCAGCAGTTTGAATGTCACAGGCTCAAGGCTGACTCAGCTCTCCATCCAGATTGTTGAGGGCAATATGCTGACTCTGTAAAACTGCTTAGAGAGGGCTGTAAAGCACTGTGAAACGGTATATAAGTCTAAGTGCTATTGCTGCTGTATTACTTTTTCGGAAAGCACAGATGTGCTCTGGCTTAGCAAAAGACTTAGAATGCAATCTAAGAAGGTTTGGCACATTCTGGATTTTTGATACTTTCTAACTATACATTAACTGTGCAGTTTATATTTTAACCAAACAAAAGCAAAAGGCAGATATTAATAACAATCATAAATATTTGCCATATATTTTCATTTTCATGCATTCTGTCAAATAACCTAACTGACTAAATGTATTCACTTGGCTCATTGTGTTTGCAAAGGCCTACTTCTAACTAGTCTGGTATAAGACCACAGTTTTAACATTCTCATAGCTGCCTAGAACATCTGGATTAATCAGAGAGGCCCCTCACTAGCTCTTTGACGAAGACGTGATAGTGGAGATAAATGAATCCAAATCCAAATAGGTGATCAATAGATGTTAAACTTCTCCAGTGATGATAAATTCTCTCTTCACAGCAAAATAATTTAGATCAGCAAGGGAAGCCATATGCCTAAAATCTGTTAATACTGTTTCGGCAACTTGCTGCTAAGATAGCTCAAAATCCCTCTGTTAAAACACTAAGTGATTAATTCACATAGCTATGCACCCTGTGTTAGGGAATAACTGGAGAATCTTGATTCCCTGCATTATACAGTTGTAACACAAGTTACAGTACTGCTTTATTAAAAACATCCCCATATTCATATTCCCCAGTACAGAGAGAAGATACAAAACAATGGTCTTGGTGACACAGAAATCTGAAACTTGGGCCATGCATATTCAAGGCACTGTAATTATTACAGAAAAGTCCAAGTGTAAAATGTTTAGTGAGCATCCTGGATAATAGCAAAGCTTAAAGTTAGCAGACCAATTGTCACTTGGTGTTCTTGCTCCGTGACCCGACAAATGCGCGCCTGACAACAGCGCGGCGACAAAATCGCGACGTCGACAGCGCGCCAACAAAGGTGTGCAGACAAAAGAGCGCTGACAGAAGCGCGATTACAGTTAAGGTAAGGGTTAGGGTAAGGGTAAGGGTTAGGTTTAGGGTTAGGTTCAGGGTTAGGTTTAGGGTTAGATTTATGGTTAGGTTTAGGGTTAGGTTTAGAGCGCGCTTCTGTCGGCGTGCTGTTGTCGGCGCGCTTCTGCGCTCATTCGTTGGTGTGATTTCGAACTTGTGATTTTTTTCGCCGTGGTTTCGTCGGCGCGCTTTTGTCGAGCGTGCATTTGTCGGTGGACCTTCTTGCTCAATATTCACATTGCTTCATTCGTACAATTTCACAGAGCATTTTCTATGGGTAACCCTGCAATTTTTCTGAGTTTTCCCTTTTGTTTTTTTTCTTAGACTGCCCAATAGCTTTGGTAATGCAGGAAGCTGTACAGGGTAGAAATATAACAGCTAAAACCTAAAGCAAAATATTTATTTCACCACAGAATTTCAGTACAAAATGTCTGTCTTGTATGATGTTGGGTAATAGGAAGCTGTCTGCTTTTCTAGACCATGATGGAATGACGTACACATCTGGAGGTGAGCATTGTATTTAGATTATTACTCATAATCTAATGCATTATCTTTATCCAATAGGATACCAGACCCTTTGACTGTTGCCCCAACTAGGAAACCAATGATTTGATCTAGCCTAATTTTTGTAAAGTTCCAACAAGGAAATGTTATTCCATAAAATTAAAGATTCAAAATATAACCCAAAATAGATTTGTCATCTGAAAACCATAGCTGACACAGCGATACATCAAGGTACCTTTTTATTATATAGGTCTGAAAGGGAACATTAATGCATGCCTGCCTCAAAATGATAGAGAACTAGGACTCCAAAAAAAGCTAGGTTTTCCAAGTCTTCCAGGAAAACAGCACATTTGTACTCTGGACTAAAAACTTTTACAACTTTATCCTTGGAAAACAGATAAAGTGTGTGTTTGTGCATATGTGTGTGTTTGTGCATAAAGAGCCTCAAATGAGAGTTGAGAACATAATATTTGTATATTAAAATACTCAGTATGATTTTATTTTTAAAACCTTTGATGATCTTTACTGACAGAGATTTTAAAACAGGCCCAGCATTGAAAAATAAGAATTTTAGATTGTGAGAATTCCTCTTGCCTCTTCCAGATCATTAGGTATCACACTATGATTAAGGGTAACAAAACTTGTAGTAGCATCTACTTCATTTCTAGTATTTTTAATCTTAGCTATATTATTTTATATACAAAATGCAGACAGCTAATAATTATCATGGCCAATTGATTCTATTTGCATATGAAAAAGCATCCATCTACCAAAAGCNAAAGTACACTTGATTTCTACCTATGGAGTCTCATGGTCTTCTTTCCTAATTACCCAATGAAGAGGTGCTGACACTATCCCATTAATATAGAGAGATACAAACTGTCACTCTATATTATACATTACAATGGTAGCTATCTCACCAATCCTTGGTGTCTCTCCAGAATACTTCTCCAAATCTCCTGAAGATGCTTCTTTGTTGGTCCTCTCCACTAAACAACCACTGCATCTGACCACTAATCTATCCTTCAAAAAAGGGGGAAACTCATCTCACAGCTTGAATGAGGGTGGAAGTCCAACGAAATATCCTTTAAAAGATGTGGTCACTTAATTCTACCTCCAATAATTCTTATCTCAATAGCACTGGGTTCTAAGTATGCAGACTAGAATATATTCAGAATTACATAGTGAATGTGTGCGTATTTTGCATTTATTCCTTGCAGAAAAGGCATTTCCATGTAAGATATAACACTGCGCTTCCAGCTTAGCCAGACCAAAAAAGAGTCATTTGATATTTAACAAAGATAACACAATCAGTTTGGGTTTATCATGTGTTTGGATTTGTGCTCTATCCGTTATGATATGTAAATTGTTTTACCATTGAAACTGACATGATTCTAAACATTATGAAATAACAATATAGTACCAAATATTATGAAAATGGTGAAAGACATATCAGAGATGGTTCTATCATTACACAATATGAGCTGTCTCCTCTAAACCATGGATTTCGAGTGAAATAAAATGGAGGAAATTATTCGTTATGAAATGTGTTACTATAAAATTTTGACTCCCGGTGATGGGGAGGGGAAAAAAGAGATATGCGATGTTTAATTTTTTAAAACACCTTTGGTTATTTATGATAGCAATCGAGCAATGCATAGACATCAGTTGAAACATATGTCATTCTTCCAAACTAATGAAATCATGATATTTTGGGTTACAGGTACAAACTCACAAGGGAAAGAAGCTAGCCTTTACCTCATGTCAGCAACAGTATGCCTTCTTTTCTTGTCTTCCACATTCTTTTTTTTTTCACTGTGCCCCGTCTTGTCATCTAATTCCCATGAAATCCTCCTGCCTTTTTTGCCATCAACTTCGCAGTTCTCTAAGGATTTTGATCTTCCCATAGTCACAACATGCAGGCATGCAAAATTAAATAAAGACAACTCATAATGAAAAAAAAGGAATTATGAAGTACTTTTTATCTGTCCTATATGTCACCTCTATTTGCATAGTCAACCTTGATCTCCCCACCAACAACAACTGGCCTCAACCCCTTTTCAAATCCTATATTGGCTTAACTTGTTTCTGAACCTCAGCAATGTCAAAGGTGTAGACTTCAACTCTTCAAGAGGATGGGAATTCTGGGAGTTGAAGTCCACATATCTTGAAGTTGCTGAGGTTGTAAAACATTGGGTTAACTCAATGGTTCCCAAACTTGGCAACTTTAAGACTTGTGGACTTCAACTCCCAGAGGTCTCCAGCCAGAAGAGCTAGCTGGAGAATTCTGGGAGTTGAAGTCCACAAGTCTTAAAGTTGCCAAGTTTGGGAACCATT